CAAACTTAAACTACAATTGCAGCTGAAGCTTCGGCTTCATTCCAGCAGCAGCTCGCTGAACGAACTCCACCTGCCAGCGACGGTCGGATTGACATGCTGGAGGCTGGGGGATCTCATGGCTTCGCTCTCTCTCCGCCAGGATTATATGTCCCTCCCGGCACCTCCGCGCAACAATCCCCCCAAGCCTGACCCAATCTAGTACAAGACTCGAAAGTTAAAGACAGCGTAACATCTGGCACGACGAGGTGCACACAAGCGGCACTGCGAATCCGCATATTCCGGAGTGCCTTCGGAAACTGGAGGAGCGGGTGTTGGAGTCTGTTGCGTCTTTCAGTTTATCTGCAAGGTCACCTTGAACCATTGCTGATTGCAAATTAATGAGCCCGTCTGCTCCTGATCTGTAACTCCATGTCGCGGTCTTCGGAGGTTCAGGTCTGCTTCAGGGACTGCCACCAATTGCGAAGTCTTTCTCCCACGCATGGTCAGGTGGGGATTCGTTGAAGAGCAAAAGTCCAGCCGAGGCCGAGGAAACATGCAAATACGGGCTGATACAGGGAGCAGTCTCAGGTAAGCATTCGTAAGTGACGACTATCTCGTCTTCGCTGAGGAAGAAGTCAACCTTACAACCCCTGTGTATTTGGCTTCAGGTCTCCATGCTGGCATGGAGTTCGACTCCGGCAATCGGACGACTGACACTTTTCCATGTACATCAAAAGGCCAACTGAAGATGTCTCACTCCAATCGGAGCCTTGACGCAAACCCGGGCGCATATCTAATTTTGGAAGAGTGTTGGACTTCTCCTCAGCGGCCGGAAACATGAAGAATGAAACGTATTTGGTTCAATGCTGATTTGAGTGGACCTCATTGTCAGGGCATGCATGCAGGCGACAGGGCTACTTTATTTATGCGTCGGTGCTACCATCTTGAAGCAAATGGTGCTGAACAGGTTTGAAGCATCGTGCCTGTTTTCGGAGCGACGCGATCTGCGCTTATTAATATTCTTCTTCTTATTATTATATGGTGGGTTGGAAGGAGTGGCTTCGCAAGCAGAGGCTTCTGTTCTAAAGCGCTTGCTTGCACTTCCTGCTCTTAACCTTCCTTGTTCTACATCTATCCATGTACCAATTTACTTATCGTTACAGTCTGAAAACCTTTGGCTAAGACCATATCTAGCAAAAGACGCAGTGTGAAAACATCGCCTTATACCCATACATATTTACATATATACCTGTCTATATATATGTATATGTTTTTCTATTCTACTTCTATTATTACTGTTATTATTATTATTACATATCTGTAAACGAATTACACGTATACACATGTGTACATCTATATATATATATGCACATGTATGCATGTGCATATAAATAAATATAAATATAGATGTATATCTATATACATATACATATATATATATATATATGCATGTGTGTATATGTGTATATATGTATATATGTATGCACGCATGCATGCATGCATGCATGCATACATACACATGCGACTTCTGTGTCATGTGTATGTATATTCTACATACACATATAGATATGTGTGTATGTATATACACACACACATATACGTGTACATATGTATACATACATACATACATACATACATACATACATACATATACACATACCTACATACCTACATACCTACATACCTACATACATACATACATACATACATACATACATACATACATTACATACACCCATACAAACATGACATGACATACATATATACACACCCAGAATGTCTGTGTGTGTCTGTGTGCTCGCATGTGTGCCAGTCTCAGCTCAGTGCAAATCAGTGTTGTGGGTGCGTGTTGACGCTCGTCTTCGGATCGCGCCCTTCCGGTTTCGAAGGGCGAGTGTAGTATCGAGGCGACAGTCTGCAGCAGAGTCTCCGAGCAGAAAGTGCGAGATTCGCAGGTCTCCACTATGGTAGCCTGGCCAGGTGATGTGTCGGCTGGGAGTCGACATCAGTCCAGAAGGCTGGTAATCGACAGAGGACTAAAAGACATCGAGAAACAATATCGGTCGGTGCTTTTCTTAAAAGAATTCAAAGGCTGGACGACAAGCAGGAAGCGACTATCGTTCGCGCAAAGCATCTGGCCGTGTTTGTGCGGTGATCGCATCAAATTTTCAAGTCAGGAAGATCAGAAGCTACTGAGGCAATAAGGGTGACAGTAGGGGGTATGGCCACAGCGGTGAAAGTTCTGATGCAATCCTGCGTATTTAGGAGTTTAGGGCCTGATTTCCTGGACAGGGGTGCAAGGAGCTGGGCGCTGAGCCTGTTAATATGCTTCTACATCATCAAGGCAGGTACTTTGCGGTTGACGTTGGAAGAGCCCAGCAAGTACAACCTGTGGGGCGACAGCCTTGAAGACTGCCTGCAAGTCAACAAATCAGCAGCGGGTGCATGTGTCAGCGGCTGCACCACTGTGGAAGTCATTAACCTTCAATAAACCGCTTAGGGCTTAGGGCAACCCTGCTCATTGAAATGATTGTCAACCCTTTTTGGCAGAGTGTTTTCGCAGCGATCGCGAGCATGGTCCCATCCAGCAGATTCACGACCTGCACAGGGAACACGTAATGTAATATACTATAATGTTACTGTAAGGTATTGTAATAAACTATGCGTTACTATAGGTAGTATACCGCAACTCCTGTGGACACAGGAATCTGAAACTGCCTCGAGGTTCCCGGCCCGGTCGCTGCGGAAGAAGCTGTTGCCATCGCGACAGAGGTTCGATACCATGACGTCCTTCCCGAAAAAGAGCCCAGTTGCATTGAACTTGTAGTATCCATAACCGAAAAGCTTACAAAAAAGGTAGTTAGCTGGGCTTCTGGGGTTCGACCTATTACAGTGACTCGAATCTCATAGCATTACCAACGCTGTATCATGATCGAAATGCATGTGGGAGGGGAGAAACGGGTCCAAGGCACTACAAAAGCTTTGGTCACCCTGTATTTCCTTTATCATCCTGGTCACAGTTAAGTAATTAACCTGTTCTCGATGTGAAGATAAACACATTTCTACAGCAAAGCTCTGAATGACTTTGCGTGACATGCAATGTTACTCATCCTACACCCCAACACGTGCAAACCCCAGACGCTAAACCCTCCTTCGGTGGTTTTGGCGTGCCCGGCAGCAACTCCATCGTGGCGTACGCCCAGCGGTCGATTTGCCCACACCGGGCGAGGAAGATTGTGAAAGCGTCTGCAGTGAAACCAACGCTCGAGAAGTACCTTCGAACTCCGCAAAACTGCAGCAAAGAAGCCACTGAAGCAAAAGAACATATAATAATTCCATACAGTAACTGCTGTTGTTGTGCCATGAAGTTTCGCCAACGTTTATGTTCTGCATGTTCTCTGAATATTCAACCTGATCATGCCGACTGCAGCTACGCCTACTACTCACAACAGCAGGTTGTTCAGACACTTCTCTCTCAGAAGCTTGCATAGAACTGCAATGCACCTGTCTTGGAGGCTCCAAAAAACGTCGAAATTCTTGCAGCCATTGCAATCTAAAGCACGGAGAACCTTCCGGCACCTCAACCGTCCTCGTCTGTCCATCGGAAAGCCGGATCACGGCTACTGTTCCCTCGTGCCGGTACCTTCAGCTCTTGCACATGTCGGATGATAAGGCATCTCTTCAGGGAGTTCACAACCTTGGAGCGAACCTGGATCTGGAGTCTGGAGCATCGCATAGGGCTGCATCAAATCCAAAGCCTCAGCCTGGGGCCTGCTAAATTTCGCATAAAAGTCAAACTCAAACTACCCTAAAGTCGAAAGGCCTCAATGTCGAACGGTTTCGGCACTCGCAACTAGGACAAGCCTAGCGAGGTTACGGGTCCGACAGCATCACATTGGCCACCACCATCAACAACAACAACTCACCTCCGGCACCAGGTGGTTCCACTGGCAACAACATGAACGTAGAAACACGAGCTACCATCACAGTACAGCAGCTCCTTCAAAATCTCGCAATCCCCACCGCAGATGAAACATATTCAAGCTTTTCCCGACCTGTCATCCCGCAGCACATCCTGAGAGCGGCCACAGAATCATGCAACATCAATTCCTCCTCAGAGCATCCGTGCAGCATATTTGCAACAAAGACATGCAGTTGCGCAGCACACACATTGTACCCCTTGCTGTGTCATGCCAAAGTCAGCAGGAACCGAGTACAGGAAGGACAACGGCATCCTTCGATGTTTGATTTCGGAAACATTCGATGGGCCACGATTTCTAGGTTTTGGAGAATGAGCCTGCTTAAACTGAAAATCGGTTGGACTGCCAACCGGAAACTCTTAGGCATGACTTGCCGTAGTGCTCGCGGTAGCTGATTCTTGATTTCTTCATGGCAGCATTCGTTGAATCCCTACAGAACACGACATCGAACCAGTGCACAAAGCCTGATTGAATAGATGGACAATGCATGCACAAGTCACACGAGACAGAGAAGCACACACACACACACATCAAGCGGGTTCAGCACACAATACCCAGGGTTCAGAACGTTAGAAAACCAAACTTTTTATACACAAACAGGTACATCTAAAATACTTTCAAGAATTACTTTAAAGTCAGAAAAATGAGCAACTATAAATACGCTGCGATCCTAGGAAAATATAGGGACAATTTTTAACAAAAACAACAGTTTGTAAGCCATGACCGACCAGGACAAATTTTGGCCGAAATGGGCAAAGCAAATCCACTGCAAGAAAACCTTCTACAACACAATACATTCCACAGCTTGAGACACGATGCCGATTCATGACATCGACTCATCATCAAGGCAGACATGCCACCGTTTCACCATGTGGCAAAAATATTGCTGCGCTGCTAACCTGCGATGCAAACACTAGTAACTAGCAAACAAGACCGGGCAATACAGAAGTCCAAAACACAACAACGTCTGCAGAGAGCGAGAGACAGTTCGCAAGATTTTGGCATTACCACGAAGAACTATTTCGGAAGGGTTTACAGACATCAAACATCCTCAGGACTGAACTCTCGTGTTGCCGATGGTTTTCGAAGGTAAACGACAAACGACTGAGAAGGATGGACCCGAGGGCTTGTATATATGTCAAGTTGCACGACTACAATCTCCTTCTCATCTGGCGAAAAAGCTGCCTGGTGCACACTGAGGTCTGAGAAGCTGCGCGGGTTGCGACTGCCATCGTGCTGCACTGCCCAGACTGCCAATGGTCCCGTGTAGTCCCTGCAGGAACCAGCCGGCTTGTTGCTTTCTGACACCAATTTGAGATAGTTCGTGCAGTAGCAACAGCAGCAACGTCGTCAATGGTATGGTATCATACACAACAGGTTCAGCATCAGCACCATCACCCTGCATGCATCACCCCCAGTATCATCTCATTACCGTAAGCACCATCCGTGCTACTGCTGCGTGGGCACACAGCCCAGATGGTTAGCGCAGCTCGTCGCATTCAGTTTATAGTGGCGCTGGTCCCGTTTCACTGCGTATGAACCTCCGGGTGACCCGTTTGACTATAATAAGGTACAAGAAGTTTGCAGTCCCGAGGGAGAAACTTCTAATGTATGCTTTCAGGCCTTTCAGCCAGAAAGCCTTCTCGAAAGGAAGGTCTTGCGCATGATTAGAGTTGCCGCTTCAGCAGGAATGCCTTCGAAGTCCTGGATGACACGACCTTCTCCATACCTGGCCGCCTGGCCTTCTAGGTCGAAGTCGTAAACCTGTAAGCAACCCCATGCTCAACATCCTTGATTAATCCTCAATACCTGGCTCTTGGATCCTGACCATGCCGCAATCCACGCTCCCGATGCTGACAGCAGGTAGGCAGGGCTGATGGTCCAGCTTGCCTCCTGGAGTGGAATGTAGGCTGCAGGGTGCAGCCAAGACCATCAATCTAAGCTCCAAGCCTGCGCACCTCCACAACTCCCATCAAATAAAACTTTCAGGGGTTTCATGGGTGCAGCGTGAAGGATTCCGAGCGTGGAGATTTCGAATCTGCAAGACTTGACAGCAGCATTCTACCAGCTCGAAACACCGGCATTGCATGCCCAGCACTGCAAGCAGCAATCGTTTCCTTACAGGCCCAGGGTCTACGGACCCAAGCCCAAGAGTTCGATCACAGATTCGTCGACTCCTGTTGCCAGGATTGTCTGCACGTGCCAGTAGGCAGATCCCAAAGCTGTAGCTCTCGAGAGGTGAGATTGGCCGACTCAATCCTTATCGTTTGTCATCATAGAGTCATAGAGACAAGAAGATCATCAGGGCATCTAACAATCCGCAAGACAAAGCTCGCAGGACACAACCGTGTGATGAAATGGCACTAAGTAGGACATCCGCCATCACTGGTACCACTTCATAAAAATTGTTTTCCACAACGGCCACCGATGATCTTGCTACCAATACGGTTCTTAGGTTTCACAATACTGCAGACTCAAATCCAAAACCAGCCAAGCCTCAAAGCAATCCCGGGCTGCAAGGAGCACAAACTTCCAGTCCACTCCGCACCATCACTCCGGACAAGTGCTGCACCTAACACAACAACCACCACCACGGTCACAACCTCAACCACAACCACAAGTGCAACCGCAACGCACAACAACAAACAAATAGGCAAGCAAGCACACACACACAAACAAACGAACGAGCAACCAAACCAAGAAACAGCATAGCAAACAAACACCCGAACAAATCAACAAACAAACAAACCTACCAACAGACAGACAAACGAGAACACAAAGCAAGCAAACAACCAAGCAAGCGTGCAAACACAGAAAGAAGGAAAGAAAGAAAGAACAAAACAAACACACACACACACACCAACAGAAAAACAGACAGACAGCCAAACAAACAGGCGCTCTCACACACACACACACCCGCACAAACAAACGAACAAACACAATCACAACCAGCACCAACAACAACCACCACTACAACAACAACACCACGCAGCAGCAGCAGCAGCAGCAGCAGCAGCAGCAGCAGCAGCAGCAGCAGCAGCAGCAGCAGCAGCAGCAGCAGCAACGGCAACTACACAACCAACAGCAACGCTGCAGCTGGTGCTGCTAGTGCTACTGCTACTTCTACTGCTACTACTACTACTACTACTACGACTGCTACTACGACAAAAACTTCTACTACAACTTCTGCTACTACTACTACTACGACTACTAGTACTACTGCTTGTACTACTTATTCTACTAGTACTACTAGTACTACTAGTACTAGGGTTTGGCACCTTCGTTTGCCCACTCTTTTGTTGGCCAGAAGCATTTTGCTCGACAAATACGAGTGTTTCGCGGGTCTACTAAGTGCTAGATTCGACATGGGAACAGCTCAGTTACGATGAGGGCACGCCTGAAGCAGAAGTATATGTAGGCATGTATGTATGTATGTATGTATGTATGTATGTATGTATGTATGTATGTATGTATGTGTGTGTGCAGGCATGTCTGCTTGTAGGGCAAGTGATGCAATGTATTGTATGGTTTGTGTGCTTATATGCATGTATGTCTGTTTGTATGACATGTACTGGAGTGTATTGTAAGGTCATGTCAGGAATGCATGCATGCATGTATGCACATATGCATGTGTGCATCTTGCACGTATGTACGTAGGCATGTATGTATGTACAACGGCCGCGATGCAAAGAAGTGGAACTGGGCGCGGGCAAACGACGCGGGCAGACCCTAGTACTAGTACTAGTACTAGTACTACTACTACTACTACTACTACTACTACTACTAGTACAACTACTACTACTACTACTACTACTACTACTACTGCTCTTGCTGCTGCTGCTGCTACTAAAACTACTACTTCGACTCTACTACTACTACTACTACTACTACTACTACTACCACTCTACTACTACTCTACTACTACTATATTACTACTACTATGCTACTACTTTCGTACTACTTGTACTATACTACTACTACTACTACTACTACTACTGCTACTACTGCTACTGCTACTACGACAAAAACTTCTACTACAACTCCTGCTACTACTACTACTACTACCACTACTACTACTACTACTACTACTACTACTACTACCACTACCACTACTACTACTACTACTACTACTACTACTACTACTGCTTCTACTGCTGCTGCTGCTGCTACAGCTACTGCTACTGCTCCTCTCGTAGCTGTACTTACTACCACTCCCACTACTACTGCTGCTGCTCCTGCTCCTATTCCCTTTCCTCCCTCGACGACGAGCCCTGCGAGGACGATATCGATGACGGAGTGCAGTGCAACCGTCTGCTTGCTGCGAATACTACCGCCAGTAATGCTGCAGAATCTTCCAGCGGCAGGGCCGAAGTACTTTGTAGTACGTGAAGGTCATGGTGCAGCAATAGACCCGAATCAATAGCCTGGTGCGCGTTCTGCTGGTTGCCGTTGTTACCGGCCTTGGGAGTATGTGCGCATCTTCGTTTCGAGACAGCATCAAAAATTCAATGAAGTAACATCCTGAACAGTATTCTCAGCTTTTGAACGATATGATATGGCACTGTCCAGTGAAATTCAAAAAAGAAGTATTTACGATTCTTTCGGACATCGTCGCGAGAGTGCTATTCGCAATAACCATGGGTGCAAGTCGTCTGCACTCTCCAACCAGGAGACCATCCTCACAACTCTGTACAGTTTTACAACACCTGGCAACAGACCGACGATCCTATCGCCGCGGCCATCGGACCGGCTGCACTCTTGTTTATGGTGATGCAGTGGCTGTTACTGTTGCTATTGGTGTTGCTCAGCAGCAGCAGCAGCAGCAGGGCAGCAGCAGCAAGGTCAATTACGGTACTTGCTCGGCAACAACATTGGCAACAACACTTCAACAGACTAACACACATCAAGTATCTGCGTTTCGAAAGACAAACTTCCGGAACACCGAGGACCTGCAATGCTAATTGCTGCTCAGCACCACTCAATGTGTGCCAAACGAGCAAGTCTCCAATGGCACCAGCGATGACAAAATCACCATCCGGTGAAAACTCAGCAAACATGCCCTCGTCGATCCTCTCTCGGTTTTTTCAGGTTGGACGACAGGGTTTCGGCCTATTTGATTGCTGGGAAGCAAAAGAAGGAAAGCTGACGCAGCAACCCAGCGGCCAGTGTGGAGGCAAAGAGTACCGGCACACCTCCGTCGAAGCCCTGCAGAGCTGAAGAAAGTGGAGTCCGTCAAACTTCGCCGACCTTTGCAGGACATAGATCTCCCCGTCGTCCAGCCGCATGGCCTTTTGGGCAAGCTGTGTCAAGAGCCTCATAAGCCTATGATCATTGCTTTTTGCAACAACAACGATCGTTATAAGTCATTTCAACTGAAATGTGGTTCGAAGACAGCCTAGCAACATCCTCTGCCGACTGGAATTGGAAGTCGGCATCTCTGGCGAGGTCGGGGCAACACGCTATCTGCGCATCACTGTCCCAAATCACCAGTGGGCTGTGGCTGTGAGATGCCAGGGTGCAGCTAGAACTTACCAGCAGCAGGACCTCTGGACGACCTTCTCCAGCACACAATGCGGAAATTGGCGTCCTGGGGCTTTGGGCGGCATCTGGCACTCGAAACACGGCCTTGAAGATCTTGCGCAATTCGACTCCCGAACACATGCATACCGACCTGGTGAAAACAATTTTTGCCGAACGGACTGGAGAGCATGTGCCAAGAATCGAAAGGAGAAGGATCTTCTCACGGAAGAGAAGCTTCTGCCGGGAAACCGCGACCTGATTATGATTCGCCGTCTGCAGACTATCTTCTGATGGCCTGCAACTCCCTGATCAGGGTAAGGATCACACGATCCCTAAGATTACACGAAAGGCAGAATCCCTTAGCCCAAAGCCCTGGCTGTTTGCTTGGGACATACTCGTCACACCTTGGTGTGCGCAGCGATGGCAGCTTTCAAGGCCACTACCGAGTCCATCAAGTCAACCTTCACATCGAAAGAGGCGCCACTGGGCTTACGAACAGTGATATCCATGGCTTGCGTGAAGCTGCGGTCAGAAGTCGACCCAGATCGCTGTTGTCATGCGCATGGCATCGGCGCTACTTGAAAAAGACATGTGTTATCAGCACGCCAAGGCTTTGAGTTGGTGTGGTGGTCGTTGCTTCGTGTGTAATGTACATATCGTTAAAAGTACCAAACAGGCTGATGTGCAAAATCTTGAAAGCTTCATCCGGATACTACGGACCAACTGACTGGCCTTAGCAATAGAGGTCCGGTATTAGTAGTAGTAGCAGTAGCTGTAGCAGCAGCAG